GAGATCCTTGAGCAAGAGAGAAACGCGTCGTGAATTTGCTTGGAATGGTCGCTATGATACTCACACCCTCACCCTCACCTTCAATTTCTTCCATGTGCCACGAATGTCTTCACAGTTGGATCTTTTGTCTGTCTTCGTCGATGTGTGGCTCGTTGCAAGAACGTTCGATAGTGTTGGATGTCGATTCTTCTCGTGCGAATGTCATTCGCGATGAGAACGAAGTCAATCTTCAAGTTGTTTGGTCGAATCCAAATGAGCAACAAAGAGAAGATCTGTTTTTCGCTGTTGATCACTTTTCATTGGCGTCGATCGAAAAGAATCGAAATTGTTTCTTCCCCTCGCAATTGTCCAACGATCTCTCTCGGCAAAGTGACGAGACGCTCGATCTGTTGACGAATGTCTTGAATGCTCAAATCTGAATCTCGAAGAGAATGTCCCTTTTGTCAATTCCAATGCTTTGACGTCACTCGGGCTGATTCCACTCGGATCTTTATCCTGAACAACGATTCCGATGTGATTTCCTTTCTTCTTTCGTTCAGTCGTTGATTTGATTGATCGTTCGAAGTATTCAATGCCATTCTTCACTGAACGAGCCTGTCGATCAAAGACCTTCTTCGTTCCCCGTTCACTATCCGCGATGAACCTTTACCGAGTTCAATTTCATTCGTCGATGCATCCAGTTGCCAATCATCGAGCCTCTCAATTCGTGAAAATGTCGATCAATGCTCTGCACGCCGCGCTGTGAACGATGTCCATCAAGAAGAGACGCGGCATGACGTGACGAACATTGACATTCAACTCGATGATCTGATTCAACATTGACATTGACACGACGTATCGAACAACTGAATGTTCACAGTTCCGTCAATGATCAACTCGTCCATTCCATCGTCATTCTGATGTCTTCCAGCGTTGAATTTGTCCGAAAACGAGGCACAGTGAACGTCTTTGTGTTGATGTGACATCGTTGGATGGTCTCGTCTTCACCGAAGAAAAGATCGTCGATTTTCTCCTCTCTCCAAAGTCAGTCTTCCCTCCAATCCCCCTTGGCCAATGAAGATCCCTTTGAACAAATTCAATCTTCTTTTGAAGATCATTCTCAAACGAAGGAATGCCGAATTGATTCTCTCTTTGTTTGGACACGTTTCTTGCAAAGCCTCAGTCAAAGTTCGGACGAGTTCACTCGCGAACATCTGCAGATCTTCTTGATGTTGTTCCATCGATGCTCGTTGACGCAACGCCAGACAGTGTTGCTCGAACTCGTGCAAATCATCTCGAAGAGCAAGGAGAATCTCTATTTCCCTCTTCTGCTCGACTACTGGATCTTTCATTTCTCTCACAATTCCCGCCGAGATGATCAAACCAACCATCGACAGCAGTCCATTCACACAGATCCTCGTCAAGACCAGCAGCACCACTCAACTGAAAGGATTCGCTTTGAAGACATTTGATCAAAGACCAAGTTATCCTTCGTTCTCCACGTACTTCGTCGAACAATTGGATTTCAGCAGAGGAACAGCGAAAGCGTCTAACGATCTTCCTCCGTCGGTCGAGTCTCTCAGTCAAGCATCAACGTCGACGGGCAGTGCGTGTCGCTTGCATTTGGTTCGACTGGGGAATTTGTCGGCAAAGAAGCGACGCTGTCCACTCCGCCTCGTTTCGCTCAATTGCCGACGAAACTCGCCTTGGGTTTCCCTCAGATCATTCAGTTGTTGCTCATCGTACGCGGACATCGATCAGCTGAACGACACAATGGTTAGCCTTCTGGGAGAATGTTCTCGAAGAGAAAGACAAACAACACGACGAAGTGTTCCAATCGAATATTCTCGAAGACAGTGTTGATCTTCTCGCCTATCTGAACGACATTCTCGTCGCGTTGAAACATCTCTCGGCGACGAAGATCAATTCGTCTCGTTGTCATTCGGGCAAGATGATCGAGCCAGTCGGCATCTCTCAGATCTCTGTCAATGTCTGTCACAAAGATCACGAGATCTCCGACGCCAAGTTCGACTCGTTCTTCTGCGATTGCGGAGCGAAAGAAGACGAACAACAAGGGAATATTGACTAACCGACAACGACGGTTGATGCGTCAGATCAGTTCGAAGAAAAAGACAGACAGTTGATGATCAACACCTATCTTTTCAATTCTCTTCTCTTCTTCAAGTCACAGCATGATGAACACGAATGTCTCCAACGACAATTCAGCGAAGAAGAAGTTCACTTGGAATGAATTGAACACATTGAATGTTCCATTCAACGTTCTTTCTCTGCAAGTCAATCGATTGAACAGTTCGTCTGTCTCGTTGACAGGATTGAAAGATTGTCAAGTGTGGAACATCGACAGTCACGGACGATTGAAAGAACCGACGATCAATCGTTCAATGACATCATCCGACCTCAATGCTTCCCCTCAAGACATCAGACGCAACTCGTGTTGCTCACCGCTGATTAGATCCAGATCTTCGATGCCAGTGTCGATCTCTTTCTTCATTCTTCCGACGAGCAAAGTTCGTGATTGAACATTCGATTCCATTCAAGGCGAGAACAACGTCGACACTTGTCCGATCTTCATCATGCCTTCGAATGGATATGAAACATCAATCGATCCGTGAGACGAACAACAACGCCATTCTGCTCGACGGTGGTGTGTCGATGTATTTCTCGTGTCCGTTCAAACTTCTCTTCTGGTCTTTTGTTCACGAGAAGAACTTCGACGGGATTGTCGACCCGAAGAACATCGAGAAAAAGTTCCGGCTCAGATCGATCGATCGATGTGAAAATGACGAACAATCCTGGATCTTGGTGATCAGTCCGACACTCGTGCGAGTGACTGAAATGAAGATGCAGCTGTCAACAAGCCAGATCCAACATCTGATCGGTGAGCGTGACGATCAACGCACGATGTTCGTTCTTCTCGCTGATGATGGAAGTGGGAAGAGTCTCTGCACGAACACGGACAAATGCAATTACTGGTTCAATCACTTTTCCAAGAAAAATTCTTTCCCTCCATCGAATTCGATCTGTCCGAAGACGAAACATTTCCTTGTCACGCCATTCTCTCTCCGATCAGGAAACCGACGATCACTCCCAGCACGACACCGATTCGATTTCCAGTGGATTTCTTCTCAAGTGCTGAAATGTTGATCGATTCCGAGTTCGTCGGTCGAAATCTGATTCACTTTGCAAGTGTTGAACAAAGATCTGAAGAACATGCTGCTCATCGGAGTTCGGATTGATGTTGGCTCAAACTCGCTGGAGAGATCACCTCAGGATTTCGAATTGTTCGGACGAACCGTTGAAGTGAATAATGAACAAGGTCCACGAGGGGACGATCTTCATCGTTCAATCTCTCGACGCTAATCAAGTGACGATCATCGACGATGTCAAAGTCTCCGTCAAGACCAAAGGAGAATTCCTCGCCTCGCCAAGTGATTCTGTTGAAGACGTCGATCGTCTTCAAGTGTCGCTGGTCTCTCGATGTTTCTCGTCGAAAGATTCTCTTTCGTTGTTTCTCGATGTGTCGATGTTCGAATATCTTCTCCTGTCGTTAGTGTCGATCAGTCGATCTCGTCCGAATCATTTCCAAGGATTTCCCTCTGTTAATTCGTCGTTGTCGAACATCACATTCGTCTGTTGACACACGAAGATTCGCAAGTGAATTTCTTGATCAAATGAGCGGTGCATCGATGTCTCCAAGCGAAGAGTGAACGGTTCATCTCGAACATCTCCAATGACAGTGAACACAAAGAAGAAGAAGAAGACGACGAAGGACCAACACAGAAGTCTTTTCAATCGAGTTCGACGACGAATGAAGTCGAATGATTCCAACTGTTCGATTGAATTGCCCGTCGACGTGGTGCCCCGACACCACTATTAAAATGGATCTTCAATTGGTTACGAAATCGCGCATTATCACTCCACTTCGGCAACGCTCAGTCCCGTACGATTTCGATGAACATCGGTGCCCCTCAGGGCTCAGTTCTTGCCGCGTCACTCTTCCGTCTTTATGTACACACGCTCCCAGCACAGCTACGCGCGTATGAATCGCATATGTTCGCCGACGATCTTGCGATACAGATCTCGGGAGACATCGAGAAACGCCTGTCGAAAAACATAATCGAATTAGAGAAGCGGGCTAAGATTGTGTTCGAGATTTTAAAGAGATTCGCAGCGGACAACCTGCTGCCTGTGAACGAAATGAAAACGAAAGCGATGCTGATACACTCGGCAGTGTTTGCTTAGAAACCGAAACTTGAATTTAAGGAGCAACAGATAGAATCTGTAAAGAGCTTCAAGTACCTTGGAGTGACTATCTCCACAAAGCTGGGATGGAGTAATTTCATAAACGAACGAGTAAAGAAAATAAGAAATGTATACCAAGGAATGAAAATCGCGTACCGAGCAATTGCGAGAACCGAGATAAAACCAAGAAGAACAATCTTCTCAGCTTTCGCGATGCCTCACTTCCAGTGGCTAATGGGAGTCTGGTTCTTCTTCACAGAGAAACAGAAACAACATATACAACACACCTATTGCTCAGTTCTCTGCCAGGTGAAGACGCTGATGGATCACGTTCATGTATACTGGTCACGTTTCTTCACGCATCTCAATCAATCACCAGATGCCTTGTGCTTCTGGAAAACCTGGAGCACCCATCACATCGTGATGGAGTCTGAGCGGAAATGGAGAAAGGAATTAGGTATGAGAAAAGGAAATAAATTCCTAGCACGACTGAGAGAGAGATCGAGACACACGATAATAGATTGGCTAGAATTCGATGCAGTACAAGAGAAGCAGTTGAATTTCTACACTAGAGATTTGAGTGGAGTATACAAATTCGTATACAAATACTTCCTAAGTGAGCAGTGATAGAGTAGCTCACTGAACAAAATGACACTCCATGAAAAGAAACTCCCTATGACTCCCTTCAGAACAGGTGTTCTCACTTTCCTTTTTCTCTTCTTTCTCCTTTCTTTTTCTTCGCATTCTTTTCTTGTGAACCATCAGGCACAATAAATGTAAAATGAAAAAAAAAGGATGACACGCCAGTAGAATTGTTCATCAAGTAAGACTTTGCTCACCTACTGATTTGCATGACAAAGATACATCTCTCTTTTTCTCTCTCTCACCGATGTTCTGCGGTTGTTCGAAGGATTTCATTGGATCCAGAAGGAATATTTGGATCAGTCTCAGAATGGGACTTCTGATCCGATTAGTAGAAGAAGTGTTCCAAAGTGATCTTCGAGTATTTGGAGAAGCAGACGAAGAGAACGGGTCCCTCGGGCCCGTCGACAACGGCGAAAACGACCGACAAGCCTCGACAACCATCGACCGGCGAGCAGAAATCAACGAATCTCATTCGAATTCTTCATTTCGACCATCAACCCGATTCGAAAGCGAAGCAAAGTGACGTCGATCAGAGACCGCAACGTACGGCAGCGCACTGCAGCGCGCGACCGCGCGCTGCCGCACAGCGCAGCGTAGCGTAGAATTTTCGTGATGTTACCGCGCGCCGCACAGCGCAGCGCAAGGTCCACCGCGCGCCGTACAGCGCAGCGCAACTTTTTTCGAGCTTCTTCTTTTTTTTGAATTATTCAACTTTTGATCACAGTGAATCCTGAAGAGACACGCCGCTAATGAATAGAAGAGGCACATCGTGCTGGAAGAGACAGCAAAGCGAAAATAAAAACTAGGAAGATTATGAAGATATTGCGAGAAATTGGTGCTAGGGAGAACCAATAGCAGTCTGCTACTTTTTCCGAGCTTTTGGACAGACTCACGACGATGATGACGAATTAAATTATGTTGGATGATTCAGAATCAATACCTGTCTATGTACTAAAAGAATTACAGCTGTTCTCAGGTCTTCAAATCGACCATTCAAAACTATTTTTTAATAGATCAAAGTCTTTACGAACGAAGCATTCATCGTTCTTCTTGCTTTCGAGCTGCCAGACGTACTCTTTCTACCACTGATACAGTTAAGCGACAATACAGTAATCCGATACCATTATCTAAATGAACGCAGGATTCATGTTAATTCAGCTCGCATCGACAAGATTCTCCTGACAGTTAAGGATACAAATTAGCCCTTCCCACTACGGTGAATTAGCCGCCTGCATTAAAAGACACCGATTTTTCTGTTATCATCTCGTGCAACAGATTTCCTCAGGGTTCTTCTATTTTATCTTGTTTTTGAGGCATCTTTCCAGGAAAATTCATCGATGCTAACCAATCCGATCTCAATGATTTTCGTAGAATTTTAGAAAGTTTCAGATCCCTGATAATGTTGTTCAGTCCGATCTATTTGTGTTTCTTTTATCAAAATCTT